ATATATATATATGTTTTTTTTCTTCAGAAAACCTACATTTGAAGAAAACTTTTAAGTCAAGAAACAAACAAGGAGGTTCACAAATGAACCATAATACAGATGTTGTACCTGAAAACTTGTGTTGTGACCAATAACAAAGAGAAATCAACCACTTTTATGTGCATATATGTACGAACCCTGCCTGATTAAAATTATTTACCATCTTCCAAAGTACTAATAACAAAAAGACTTGCATCAAGTCTGCTGACATTGTGAGGATGCTGAACACACAAAAGTCAACTTACTAATTTTTTTATTTCACATTCCAGTTGTTGTATGCCGTCGAGTTTCCTTTTTCGACAGCGCTGCGCAGCCATGCGGTTCTTGCTTCTCCGACGGACATCGTGGACAAACTCAAGCTGATCTGGCGTCAGGCGATGGTCCCTCATAAGCTGCTGGAAAGCACTTCTACTCATCTCCGAGATCTGCTTTACTGGAAACGGGAGCTGAATCTGAATAAAGGAGGTTTAAGTGTTAGGATTGATTTTACTTAATTAATGTTCATTAAACAAACAGATTGTGTATCACAACGACCTCTGCTGCTCTTTTGGTGTTGGCCTCAGTCTCCCCATCCGTGTCCATTTCTGATTCGTCACCAGAATTTAGTGAGGAAGACAAGCAGGGGCTCTTCTCTGCTTGGGACAAGCCGTCAGTGTGCGTACCAGGGTCATCGCCTGTCCCCATGTCCCTGAAGAAGGGGCAGTCTCCTACACTGGAACTCAGGTCCAGCTGTTTGAGCCAGTGGAAGTCAGACGCTTTTGCCAAATTGTTTTGGGTCACAGCATCAAGAGACTGTGGTGGAGCCTGAGGTGTGCAAAGGTCAGACCAAAACCCCTTAGCCAAATGTTCAGCTACTTCCCTCTCCACGCGGCTCCGCTCCTCGTGCTCTAAATCAGTTAAGGTTGGATCTGTTAGATCACCTGCAGTTTCCTGTACACGGCAACCCATACTCTGGTGTAATACTGAACTACAGCAATCTGCCCCTGATGTCTTCAGAGGACATGAGCCTGAGTTACTACCGGCTTCAGCACCAAGCCTCTCAACGGCCTCTTTATTATCTCCACTTGCTGGCTCAGTGATTTCTGGCAGACTCACATCACCTGGTGTTGACAGCTCACACTGTAAGTTGCAGCTTGCCAAACTCAGCTCATCTTGATTGCACACATCTCCAATCTGTAAAATGTCCTTTTCACAAAAATGAGGAGACGGACCTGTCTTGTCAGAGCCTGGGCATGGCAGAGACAACATGGGGCACACACCGTTTGCTGCTAACTCTAGAGATAAGGATGCCATTTGTGTCCCACAGTTCTCAAAACAAAACGAATCCTCCCCACTATTTGTCTGACCCTGTGTACTCTGATGGCACTGGGATGGGAAGTCTGTTTGCTCGTCGCCTCCTGAAGGCACTGAGCTGTGTGAGTCAAATGATTCTGCATGACTACTTCTCACACTAGGGCCAAAACTGGCACCGTGCACCCAGCTCTGACAGCAGACTTTATGCCTGACCTCCTGTGAGGCTCTTTTACCCTCGGAAAACTTGGGAATGAGGAAATCAAAGCAAGCTGACTCCAAGTTGTGAAATCCTAAAATCTCAGCACTGGTTTGAATAGCGTGAATGTTTTCTTTGGTGAAAAGCAGCTTTGATGTGTAGGCAAATTGAAGCAAAGGTTCAAACCCCTCCACTGTCACCTGTGGAGAAAGGAAAAGCAGAAAATTGTCATGCAACTGGAACATATGACAATGAAACTTGTCCAGCCTAAGGGCAGTACTGGGTATGGGGTGCCGTTTGTAAAGTTACACAGTCAAAAAATACCACTAATATTTTTGTTTTATTTAGCCTTTTATAAGAAAAAAAAGAACAGATTTATTTTTCAAAAGTCAGTTTTTCACCATATGATTCATACATTTATAAATGTCATAGTTTATAAACTAAACATTTAACTTACAAATTAAATATTTGGTTAACAAGTTAAATATTTAACTTGTGACTTAAATAATTAGTTTTAAGCTTAATATTTATGTTGCAACTTAAATGTTTAGCTAGCAAGTTAAATATTTAGCTAGCCACCTAAATATTTAAGTTAAATATTTAGCTAGCTACCAAGTGTATCTTACCCCCCCCCCATGAAAAGATAACTCCGCCCCAAGGCGAAATTTGAAAAATGCATCAAAATGGGTAGGGGAGGGGGTGTTGGTAAGGGAGGTGGGTGGGTTAGAGAGCGGAGGTGTGGCCAGGATGAGAGAACGTGACAGGCAGTTAGCATTAGCATAATTGATGCTACATGGAGAGTGACCACTGTATCGCAGATAGTTACATCTCTGAACGTCTGAGGTGGAGGATTTTCACCCCACACCAGCACCGGACAGAGGCGGAGGAGCGCTCCGACAGCC